AAAAATCTGGTTTTCCTATGGTAGATGTTTTAGCCCCAGAAGAGAGCAATTGACAAGAGAACAGAGAAAAAGGGCCCATCAAGGATAGGAAACCCAAACCAGAAATGTCGCATTTACCAAAGCCACGCAGAACACAAAGCAGAGAAGAGAAGCCTCCGAGCAGATACTGTTATTAATTCATTATGTCCCCTTTGTCCCATTTAGGAACACGTAAAACACTTAAACTGAGAGGCAGACAGACCACTTAGAGTAACTTTGAAATAAATATTTGTGTAGAGTTCTAGTCTTTTGATAAAAGTAATAGGTGACTGGTTAGTGATCATATTTGTTAAACATCATTAATGGTAATAAATTCTATTTTTAAAAAAACTCTAGATTATGATTTTCAACCAATTTCAATGCACCTATGTTAAGTACATTGAGATATTTGTAGAACTGAAAACTTGGAACTTAATGGGCTCAGAGACCACTACAAGCACCCAGGGATGGAGGGAAGAAGGGAAGAACCCCAATCCCACAAACAATGCTGAGAGGAAAGGTACCAATTACCAAAGGAACCAGGATGTAGACACTACAGAGGACATCTCCATCTGGAACCCTGAATCTCTTTAAAGTTGATTAAAGTTAATTCTCCTTGGGTACAAATGGTAGAACTAATTAAGTAATTAATCTTACTCTAAGGTAAATCATAGTGGATAAAGTAAGAAAAGAGATATCATAAGAAAACAATGTAAATGCATTCTGGCCAAACCGTCAACTCAATTTATTTGGGAGATAGTTAAAGAAAGAAAGCACAGCAGTCCCCCATTATCTGCAATTTTGCTTCCTGTGGTTTCAGCTACCACAGTTAAATGAGGTTTGAAAATATTAAATGGAAAATTCTAGAAATAAGCCATAAGTTTTAAATTTATAACTTTAAATGCTTAAACAATTTATAAGCTTAGAAATTCCAGAACTAAACAATTCATAAGCTCTGAGGAGCATGATGAAATCACTTGCCATCTCACTCTTTCTCATCCAAGACATGAGTTACACCTTCATCTCGTGTATCCACATTGTATATGCTACCTGCCCATTAGTCACTTAGTAGTCATCTTGATTATCAGACCCATTTTCATAGTATCACAGTGTTTGTGTTCAGAACCTTATTTTATTCAGCAATAAAACCAAAGCACATTTTTATTATAATATATTGTTATAAATTTTATTGTTATTGCTCTTAATCTTTTACGGTGCCTTATTTCTAAATTAAATTTTACCATAGGCATACATGTATAGAAAGAATATAGTATATATTCAGAACTAATCGCATTTTCAGGTGTCCACCTTGGAACATAGGCCCCCGGGAGAGGGGGGACTACTTTATTACCATATACTATGACACAAGGCAGGTGACATCTGCTCTTCTGACATGTTTACAAAGTCATGGAAAGTCAAACAGGTCCACGTTCCGTGTTCTTAGAGATATGCCTTGTCAATGCGCTGTGCTATTTAGGTGGCCCACACTGAGGGATCCATGGCTGGGCAGCATTTACTGGCCCCACAGTTGTACACTCAAGGGGCGTTTCCCAGTAGTTCCTCTCCCTGCCTTCTTCACTTCCCAATATGGCGCTGCTGTCACCAGTCACAACCTCACTACCAGGCCCTGACCCTTCTCTGTGTCTTCTGCTCCATGCCTTCCACATCCACAGGTTTCTCCAGTGTCTCATGTCTCATGTCAGTTTCTCCAGTGTCTCATGTCCAGTGTCACAGGTTTCTCTCAGTGTCTCCATGGGTTTCTCCAGTGTCTCATTTTAGATGAACCCCACGTTTCCTCTCAGAATGGGAAAATGGAGAAGCTCAGCTGCCTTGTTCACGCAAAGTAGGTTTGATAGGTTTGATGGTTTCTAAAGCCACTAGGCAGACCGTGTGTCTCCCTTATTCCCCTCTGAATCTCGCTGCCTAGCTCTGCAGCAGACACAGTGGCCCCTACAGAAGCATCTGCCACACGAAGAAATGAGTGAAGAATGCCCGAGTGAGATCAAGACGTAAAGATGCTCTCTCCATTTCTCACAACCCGCAGTTATGCTTTAACCCTCTCTCAGCAACACCCCAGAGCACCCCAAAGTCCCCAGGAACCCCATGGAATTCAGTTCTCAGTAATGATTTCTCCTGGCCTTGGTCTTGCAGGGGCTCTTCTACATGGCTGAAACCATGGTTCACACAACATGCCCAAGGCTGCTGGACCCCAGATCCGATGCTGCGACACGGTGGGACAGAGTGAGATATTGCCCACCCCAGCCTCCCTAGAGAAACTGRTTCTGGTGAGGCTTTGAGAATCAACACGTCTGTGTTTCTGCACAGCAGCCAGCAACCCCCAGCTAGAGAATCGTTTCTCCCTCTCTGTTTGAGTCTCTATTGATTCTGTAGTTGAAGAGGAAGCTAAGTGCTATCCAAATACCACATGCTCCATATGGCCCTGCGAATCCATGCTCCCCAGGCAGCACACCACCTTCCTACCTACACTCRCAAGGTGCCTCATCCGTGTCTGGCAGAACACGGGGAACTCTTTTCCTGACCTATATTTGCTGACCAATTTGTTGTCTTCTTGCTTCCTGTATAACTTATTAATTGTGTCGAATTAATACACATGTGTGCATAAATACAAATTTATTCTCTTATTCATCCCCATAATCACTTAAAGGAGAACAAATTCTGAACCTTTAAAGAGGAATCCTTAAGCTAAAATGTCTCGGTTCAGGATTCAGATGATCCTCTTTAACTGAGAAACACAGAGATTTTCAAGTCAGAAATACAATGAGGCCCAAGTCAAGGCAGCACCTACATCTAGTTGCAGCGGAATGAGTGAAAGGCAGTGGCTGAGGCCATTCAAGCCACCCCGTATTCGTCCCCTGAGTGTCATGTAATTCTTTGGCCCTTTTTCCTTCCACCTTTTCAGGTAGGATTCAGCCAAGGGGTTAAGGGACTCAAAACGCCTCAGTTTTCTTTTGTGTGTTTCAAAAAACACAAAGCCTCCATTGCCCGAGAGCTGGGGGTCTTGGAATCTACCTTCTCGGTCATTTATTGGTGACATGGAGCTTACTTAGTAATGAAGGAGAGGATGAGCCACATGGGGTAGGTCACATATGGTGCCGGAAGACGAGGCTCTCGCTAAGAGGCTCATGGGAGGCCAGGAGCCACCTGTCCCCGGGCACTTGCTGAACCACAGGGATGAGACCGCCCTCAGGGAGGGAGGTACTGCTCTCACGTGAGCTGATCCTAGGGAGTCCCCGGCCAGGGGACAGGGAAACGCGTGATTTCAGACACCCTGACCAAACCTGGGACACTCTGATCAGGCAGTTTCTCCAGGACTGGGATTGCTCTACTGATGGAAATCTACTTCACTCACAAGTACATTGAACATTCTCCTGGACGCCCAAAGAGGGTTAAAAGGAGGAGGAAGAAGGGAAGGATAACTTTACAAACCCAGGATTATACTTCAGTTAGTGTCATATTTTGCATTTGGTGATGACCATCTCGATCACTGACTCATATCATGAATGTTCTTTTGATTTAAGATTTTTAGTGATTTTTAAACATGCCACGTGTATTTACTTGCAACAACACCCCATGAGACGGGGACTATTCTTCTCTAAATTTTACAAATGTAGACTTGCCTAATATCACACATTGAGAAGAAAAGCAGAGCTAGAATTTGAGAGCAGGCAGTCTGGACCTACAGCCCGAGACCTACTGGGATCTCCAGCCTCGGCGTCCTCAAGGGCTGCCGTAGTGACACTTGACCGCATGCACGTCCACACAGAATCATACACGTATTTTCTAACCAATGAGCACTATAACCTTGCATACATATTTATGAAGGCTTTTCAGTAAATATCTTTTGATTCCTTTTAAGAATTGAAAAAACTTTATATTCCACCAGAAAATTATTGCTATCCARTGATTTCACAATTGTCTAAAAATACTTGGCCAAAAAAAGAACTTAAAATTCCCTGGGGTTCTTCCACTCCTTCTTGATTTAGTATTATTTCTCGAATGTCAAAATCTGGTAAGTTTCAAGGATGCTACTGTCTACAAGGGAAAGGTTCCTTAAAACAGTACAATTTACATATAAATGCCCTCCTACACAAACATGTACATCTACACACATGCACACACACACACACACACACACACACACGGACACACAAGCATACCACTCCTCATGACTGGCAAACTGTTTTCATTTTTGGAATTCGCAGCATTGGAAAATTCTGTGAATACAGATATTCTCATCCATTTCCTCTGGAAATAGAAACGGTGCGATTTTATTGGAAAGTAATTTGGCAACAAGTATCAGAAGTCTTAAAACCTGAAAACTCTTCAATTCAGCAGTTTACTGATCGGCAATTACCCTAAGGAAGTCATTAATAACAGGAACTAATACAGAGCCATGAGAGCATTTTTGGTAGTCTAAAAGCAAACAAAAATATATATGTACCTGTATATATATATACATATGTATCTTTATATTCAACTAGAAGGGAGCAACTAGATGAATTTTATTTGTTCGAGATATATGACATAATTATAATACTTTAAAATATTTTATATTTTGAAATACTATAAAATATTTTATAGAATCACAAAACATATTGCTATGAAAAGATGTTGGTTGTTAACAGGAACAAAAGGTTAGTTGACGGTCCACAATGCACTATTCCCTCCCACCATCTGATGGTGCCTCTGGGGCTGAATTTATGAACGCTGCCTTCAGAATCATCCCTTTCTTACCAGTATCTTGCCATCTAGCCTGATCAGCCATCTCAAAAATATGTAGAAATTGTTTTCTTTCCCACTAAGAAAGTAACCCTTCTATTTTGATAAGTCTCTTTTATCAAAGAATCAACAGAGGGAGAGAACATAGACGTGCGGAAGTCTTTCTGTTGTGTGTGGCGACACTGCCACACCCACAGCTCTCTGGAGACCCGTGGCTCAGGCTGATGACGCAGGGTGCTTACCTGCACTAGGTGCTTTCATCACAATGCAGGACCATGCGCCCTGGCTCCTCCCAGCAGATCTCTTCACACAGATTTTGCTTGAGTAGAAAAGGTGGCAGTAGAGACTCGAGGTAAGAGGCCTGGACCTGGAATCACACACAACATTCTGGTTGAGTTAGAAGCTCCTGTGGCCACAGACAGCATTAGCCAAAGTCACAGAAAAGAGCAACACCACGCTGTGTGATCGCCCCATCTCACACACACACACACACACACACACACACACACACACACACACACACTCAACACGTGCACACGGGTCCAATAAAATAAAACAACTGCAAGCAGAGGCACAACCATTCCCCTTCCCCAGGGTAGCAAGTTCTGGCCCAGGGTTGTTTCCTGCCCCATCCCCTAACATCAGCAGCAAAATGATCCTGTTTCCCGCCTCCTCCCCATCCCACTTCCAAGAGTTCAGAGAAATAAAGAGTGCCTAGTCCTTCGTACAGTGTCAGGAACAGGCTGTATTTGATGCTCAGATTCTTTCTAGCCCCAAAGCGAGGCCATTTTGGAACACGTGTTCACCACCTGGCCTTTCACTTTTTGCCTTTTACTTTGGAATCCCCAGTGCCTCCGCTGATAACCCTGGCAAGGACCACCATCCGTGACAGCCAGGGTGGTCACCAACCTCGTGAGACACCTCTGTGTTCCTATGCTATGCGAAGGGCCTTACACCCTGCAAGGGCTAGTCATGCTCCTAYGTCTGCAGTCAACGGGAAAGCTAAGCCTGGGACAGCTCATGGAGGTCAAAGCCAGTGTGCAGGCCAGCAAGGTGCACAGAGCCCTCGCTCACAAGTTCAGCACCATCCCATCCCTACACAAGGGATCTCGCTGTCCACATTTCTGTCCTTATTATAACAAAGTTCAATATCATACTATATCACTGCATTTCCCCCCCCAAAGTTGATATGTCACCCAAGTCCTAATATCACTCTTTCTGGATGTGACTGTCCTTTGGTTTTAATTTCCAAGCTCAATTGAACTCAATATGTTTAGATTGCTATTGACCGTGAAAGAAGTAATTTTAGTAAATGAAAAAAAAAAAAAAAGTCAAGCAATTCCAAATCTAGATGCCAAAAGATGAAATAAAATCCTAAAATCCAAGTCTTATCTGGGTGGTTAAGTTTCATTAGAAAGAAGACAGGTGATGAAATAAAAAGCCATCTGTGAAACCCCTAAATAAAGATAAAAATAAAGGCAGGGATTTCTAAGCATAATAGATCCCTGAGTTTAAAAATACCCCAACATGTTTACCTATGTACAAAATTAGCATACCACAGGTCTTAGATTCATCACAACATGAAACACAGGAGACTGTCAAGGAATCAACAGAACATTTATGCGTCCTGCCATGGTTGGGATGCGCCTTGTCCCACAAGGGATCCCATGTTAGAAGCTTGGCTCCCAGTGTGGCACCATTAAGAGGTCGTGGGAMCTTGGTCACTGAGGTCACTGACCTGAAAGGGGATCAAGATTCTCCTGGGACCCTGAGTTGGTTCTTGAGAGAGGGCTGTCATTAACACACACACACACACACAAAAGCAAGACCAGCCCCTCCCTCTCTCTGGCTTCCTGTCTGGCCATGTGATCTCTCTCTCTCTCTCTCTCTCATCTGAGCTCCATCCTGGAGCCATCCGCCATGATGTGGCACAGCCAGGTGGGCCCTCACCAGGGCCAGGGCCATGCTGCCTGGACTTTCACACTCCAAAACTGTGAGCTCAATAAGCCTTTTTTCCTCATAAAGAATCCAGCCTCACATATTTCATGATAGTAACTGAAACTGGACTAATACAGGTCCCATAATGAGTCCCCTTTTGCCTTTGTGTGTAGAGGACTGCACTCAGGGGCGCTCAACCACTGAGCCACATTCCCAGCACATTTTATATTTTATTTACAGACAGGGTTGTTTAGCACCTTCTGCCTGAAGCACCACCCCTGAGTCGGGCTTCCTATGGTGGCCCCCACGTCCTGTACAGTCCAGCTCATCCTACCKCGGGTCTCCCTACAGCTTATCCGCACCTTGGTCTTGCAGGCCTCAGGGTCTTCTCAGGTGACTTCCTCCTGTCACCAACTGCCCTGTATTCTTTTCTCTGTGCGCATTCAGCTGGGCCGTCTTCTCCCATCCCGACCTCCCTCCTCCTTCCTGCATCTGGGGTCACTCTCCCTTGTTATAAGCATCACCTTTGTAACTTCATTTTCTACTTGATTCCTCCATTGATGCCTTTTCCCATGAATCAGCACCGCGCATGCTCCTGCTCACCCTCTGCAGCACTCAACGCAAGGCTTTGCAGGGTCGGACTCTCCACAGAGTCTCCCAAATGAACAGGGGAAAAGAGGAAGGAGGGAAGGAAGAAGCCGGGGGAAAGGAAGGGCGTCCCTATTCAGGATCCTTTCATCAGAGTTCCCTGGATTCGGTGCTGAGGACCTTGCAGCGCACAGAGGACCTGCTCATTCCGTTGAGTGGCAGGTGAGGCTCCTTGTCATCCAACCCTGGCCAGCTGGGCCTCCTGCAGAGGCAGGGACACGTCCCTGAACCATCCGCCCTCCTCATGCCCTCTCCGCATCCTGTCTCCTCCATCCCCTCCACACTCCTCTTCATTCACACACTCGCTCATTCCCCTACTCTCAGGGCTGGGAAAGAGCCCGGGTTGCCTTCTGGGAAGCCAAGGCCTCGTCTCTGGGTTTCTACAAGACTTTGTACCTGTCACTGTTACAGCAATTGTCACAGTTTCCTGTACTCGTCTTTTAAGCAGCTCCATCTCTCCCACTACCTGGGAAGTGCCTTACACGCAAGGGAGGCACCCTGCTTCACAGTGTCCCCAGAGGGGCCCACAGCAGCCTGGCATGTAAATTGTCACTAAGTCAGTGTTTGTTGAGTGAACAACAGAAATGATCTACAGAGTCAGGTACCACTTAACCACAGGGAGAGGTTCTGAGACACCACCATGAGACGATTCCATCCTGTGAACGCCATGGAGCACAGTTACATAAACCTGGGTGGTCTAGCCTGGTACACACCTGGGCTCTGGGGTCTAGCCTATGGCTCCTAGACTGCAAACCTGTACAGCATGTTACCGTACTGAAGGCTGTAGGCAACTGTGACATAATGGCATTTGTGCACCTAAATATGTCTAAATATAGACAAGGTACATTATATATAATTTTACAGGACTCTCTGCATATATGTCCGACTGCTGATCTAAACACCACTATGTGATGTGTATATACATCCCCACACTCATGTACTCACTTGTAATTGCACTGCTTGTAATCCCAGCTACCCAGGAGGCAGAGGGAGGATCTCAAGTTCAAGGCCAGCCTGGGCAACTTAGAAAGACCCTGTCTCAATATAAGACAAAAAGGGTTGATTGAAGATGTAGCTCAGTGCTCGCCTAGCATGTGTGGGGTCCTGGGTTCAATTCCCAGTACCACAAAAAAATTATAAATGTCTCACCATCTCACCACTAAATGTTTCCTTATGATGCAAAAATAAATTTCACTTGCCAATATTTTTGACAACTTAAATATATATATATATATATATATATATATATATATCATGTATAACTATGTATAGTTAATATGTATAACTATATATAGTTATAAAGATAATGTATAGTTATATATTTATAGAGTTAATAAAGTCTTTACTGTTGTGAAGCATCGTGGTTATAAATTCATCTGCAAATTGGGCATATTAATACCTACTTCACAGCATAGACAGGAGAATTAAATAAGTTATATGAGTAAAGTATGTAGTGCAGAGTGTGTAGCATGCTGAAAGCACTTTATAAACATTATCTATGTAATCATTATTATTATAGCCAGGGCAATCATGCTGAAATTATAATTCATGCTTCAAATTTATCAGTTTTATTTGCCAGCTTTTTTCCACTAAAACATTAATTAGCATTAGCATCTCTGTACGGCCATAAAAACGGCTAGAGAGGCACTCAGTTAACCAAGGATAAAGGATGGTCTACTTCACTGCGGCCGAAGGACAAATTACTGTGTCCATAATGCGCAATATGTGTGGGAAGGGACAAAGGCATTGACAGAAAAGAAGTATTTCTGCACAAAAGTCATCTATAAAATCAAAGTGATAGAAATAATAAAGATTGCCACTCAAGAGCTGTAAACATTTGCCTGCAATAATTACAAATATTTACTGTAAATTATTTCTTTTGCTAAAAAAACAAGAGACATATGCATACATTTCTTTTAATTATTAGACAGCATAATGTGACTTTATCAATAAATATTAAGAATGGGTCTCATGATTATCCCATAAGATGTTTGAATTGATAGCAAACACATTCATTTGTGGTCTATTAGACAGTACTCTGATTTAGAATTGCTGAAATTTAGTGAAATAGATTACTCAAAGAGAAAAAAAAGAAAAACAGGCAAGACCAGTTGGCAATAGTATTTGGGGAAAACAAATAATGTAAGAACGGATTGTTTACAAATGCTACCAGTACATGCAGTAGTTGAGAACAAGTGAGTGAGTCATCATCGTGTATTCTAGGAGGCAAAGTTACAATGCTGCCCTGAATCACTCTTTCGCTTACAAACTGACCAAGTTTAAATGGAGTACAGTAAAGGATTTTATAAACCATGTGCTATTTGATATATAAGGTACTATCATTATTATATTTTGAGATGTCTGTGATAAATGATGACACCCAAAGCAAGTCAAGGTATTTTGGTTTTTTTTTTTTTGGTTTGGTACCAGGGATTAAACCCAGGGGTGCTTAACCACTGAGCCACATCCCTGGCCTTTTAATATTTTATTTAGAGACAGGATCTCACCAAGTTGCTTAAAGCCTTGCGAAGTTGCCAAGGCTCGCCTTGAACTTGCGATCCTCTGGAATCAGCCTGCTGAGCCCCTGGGATTACGGGCGTGCACCACCACACTCAGTGCAAGTCAGGTTTCTGATTGAGGCTCGACTCCTTTTTCAGAGGTACCAGAGTTATACCAGAAAATGTTACAAAAATATTAAATTTCTAACTTCTAATTTTACCAAAAGAATCAAAAGAATACCAAATTACTTTTAAACTAAATTATAATCCTCTTCCCTGATCA